TTATAACCCAGTTCAAGAAAATTCCATAAATGATTTTAAATTTCGTGACCGGAGATTGAAGAAATAATTTTAAATTAATTAATTAATTAATTAATTAATTCTTTTTATTTGCATGTTCGTTAAAATACAAATTTCACTAATTTAATCTTTTAATCTAAATTTATTAATTAAAAATTAAAGTATGACCAAAAATTCTTGAGGTGAAAACAGGATTTAGAATCAATTATTTAAAATCATGGGTAGAAAACAACGAAATTCTTTTGAAATCCTTTAAAATATCAAGTACCAAACAGAGCATAAGTATTTTTATTGAGCCAACGAGAGCAATAGCCTAACTTAAACTAGTTAAAGGGTCTAATTTCGATCAAAATATTGTGAGTAAATTCGAATCTCCGCCTATACATACGTTTTTAGCGAATGTGAGCAGTATATCTAAGAAATTGTGAGAAATCAAACAAAATAAAACCTATTCATTTCAATTAATTTCTTAACTATCTCACCCTACGACGTTTAGTTATCAATGCTCATAGGATTTTAATATCTTAATAAGATGACTATTATAGAATTCGAGTCAATTTCGATCTAATTACCTCAGTAGGAATATAGAATTTATTAGTTATTACACATACATAGATCAAAGTTGCATAGTTGTTATCTTAAAATTTGAATGACTATATAATTGTATTTGAGAAATAAATATGAACATTTGCTTAAAGTTTAATGTTGATGTCAAAGAAACTAACATGAACTTGAGTGAAATGTTTCCTCAATCATATGTTTGGCCAACCAAACATTCCAGCAAAATTATTAGAATAAATGAAAATGTTGATCATCCCAACTCTAAAGATGTAATGTTAATATGAGATAGTTCAACTGATTAAAAATATATATATTCATTAAAATGTCGAATATTAAAATTTTTCATTTCTATAGATCGTGGAATTAAAATAATAATAAAAAAAACTTCATTTAATCAAAAAAAAAAAGAAAAGAGAGAGAGCACCCTCTGAAAATAGAGCAAACACATAAAAATAATGACAAAATAGCCCCCAACAAATCCTTAAAGAAAGTAAGAACCTAAGCTAGACTATCAAAATAACATTAAAGCATGACTATAAATATGAAAGTAATTATTGAGGTAGACTACCCANCTCTTGATTTGTAAATAATATTTCTTTAAGCAAAAGAGAGTTTTCGTTTTTACTTACAGGTAAATATTATTTTTACCAGGCCAACCTTTCTTTTATTTCTCATTTTGAATTTAGGAATGAGCTATTAGCTTATTTTATTATAAGTCATGATATCAATAAATTGCATCCAGTCTTTGGGAAGATTTTTTTCTATACTGCATATGCACATTAAATATCTATTTGTATCTACTCTATAAAATTCAAGATGCAAGTACAAGTGTTTAATATACACAACTAGAAAATAATTGCATGTGACACACCATGAAAAAACTTTATTGTCATCTTCTACTCCCTTCCCAATGGCATTTTGTGAGAAATTTTCTTTTATCCTTTTCTATGCAATACTTTTCTTATTTTCAAATTCAAAGTTTACACTCAAATAAAGAACACGAGCCATTGTAATGAAAGTTGTTTTAAAAAGTTTTGCTTATTTGATTATTATCCTTTTCCCTAACTCCAATGAAAAGATATTGGCTGACTTTACCGATCTATGATCAAACAAAAGACAATAAAATTCAGATTAACCAGTACAGATTATTTTTCTTCTTGAAAATTTTGGAATGCTTTAACATAATAACAATCTATATCGAGAGATAGAAGTGTTTACTTTTGTGGGTTTAGTAAACTGTATGCTTACATTTGAACAGATGTGTGGATAGGCTCATAGGATAGTTCGTGGTACTTGTTGTGTATTATCCACCCTTCTTCCACTGTAGCTCAACTAGTAGTTCGACTGGTTAAGATATTTATATCCTTACTAAGTTCGAATCTCCAACTTTCATGAGATTTTTGTTCGAGAAAATGATCAGGAAGGTAAAAGAGGGGTAAAATGGGAAGAGGGGGAATAAGGTGAGAGGGAGAGAAGATGGAGATGACAACGAGGCAAACGAGGGAACGGTAAGGCAGAAAACAAAGGAATCCTGTCCAATCAGTCGCTTTCCATGATTTGGCGGACTGAGTCGTGGGGCCGAGTTCATCGAAATTAAGGCCGAGTCGCTGGCACATGTCACTTGCTCATCCGCTTCGGCTGGGCCCACCATTGGGCCACGTCATGTGCCTGTGGGTCCACGTGTCCCTTCCTTCACATTTTAAATTGGCAGCATCTCTCCACGTTGGCTCACTGGGCCCTCTCCCAACATCACATTGGAATAAATAAATAAATAATAATTAAAAATATATATATTTATCTTTTCATGCTTAAAATTATTATTCTAGTGTTGCTGTTATTTTGCCATCCATTTTTAACCTATAAATAATATGATAGGATTTCGAATACGTATACTAACGTATTGATACATACAACTAATATTCTTATCGATATATATTCATATTAGTACAAATGTTTGAGTTACATCATTAATATGTTATAGATGGCAGTATAACTATAATTCTTTTTTTAAATTGTAATTTTAATTTGTGTTATTAAAATGAGAAAACTAGTCTTTTTCATTTATTTTAGTCATTTTCTTGTCTCAAGGAAAAAAGGTTCTAGACTTTTTCAATTACCCTTACCCTAAGTTTTTTCCCCTTCCCCTCACCATATTATATATTTATATGTCCCTAGCCCAATTTATATGAAATTGATCATGTTAAATATTTCAATAATTAAACTCAAATTTATTTCTTTAAAAAAGAACAGAAATTTATGATAGATCAAAAGTAAATATAATTTTTTTTGGTAAAGTTATTAGATAATAGGAACTTTTTTAGGTGAAGCAACACAATTATAATGGCTAAAAATTTTAAACCACTTTTAACTATTCATAAATAAGACACTTCATTCATCAATTTGTAATTTGTTTATAAATACGTACTTTCCTTGAAAAATTTTACTCTTAATTTTTGTTTTCAAATTCGATTTTTTTATTGCATAATTATTTAATTAGTTAAAATATATTTTACTATTTAAATCATGTTAAACCCACTTTAAAACTCATATCGAACCCACAATGACCTTCTTTGTTAAATAAAAAATATAAACAATTAAATAATAAAAAGATAATTGTATTTAAGCAATAAATGGAAAATTTTGTAGCAAGTACCCAAAGTTGCTAAAGAAGAAAAAAGGATGAGGACCACATTTATGCAATTGCAATGTGAGCTTATTCAACAATGACAGATAATTGTATTTAAAAAAATTCTCACAATTTGGCAACTGCTTCCTAGTTGAGGTTCACTCTATCCCTTTCTTGCCTTTATTTTTTTCAAAAGCTAAAAATTATGATTAATTGTTTTTAGTTCATTTAACTAGCGATGGTGGAGATTCGAGTCTCCGATTGTTTGGTCAATGATACATACATTAATCAGTTAGCTTAAATTCAAATAATAGAGACTCACTCACAAAACCCTAATTCTCGGAAAATGTGTAATTAAAAGTTTAGTTCTTTAATTTTTATGTCTGTATCTAGGTGGTTTTTAACTTTCAATTTTGGTGTCTATTGTACCTAATAGAACACTGGTCTATTTTACATTTCAAAGAAAAATTAACAAATCTATTAGAAACTCAAAATTAAATTTTATATTTAATCGATATTTTAAAATTTATAGATTTATTAGACATAAAATTGAAATTTTACAGATCTATTAGACACCTTTTTAAATTCAGTCAATAACTTAAAACATGTTATTTAACCCAAAAAATAAGTTTTTAGAGCTAGAGACTTTTTTTTCAGCATCAATTGTTGAAAAGAAAATTACAATAATGATCCGGATTTTTTATTTATCCTAAAATGATTTTATTTTTCATATTTATCATATTGTTTTGTTTGTTTTTTTTTTCTAAAAATAAAAATAGATACGACAAATATCATAATGAGAATTCAAACATGAATTTTATTTGTAAGATATTTGTTAGATGTATGAGCACGTATCAAATAGTGTAGTTCTGAAAATATTTAATATGTGATAATTATGTAAAATATTTACAATTTCTTTTAAAACAATAGGTGGTTTAAGCATGGGCCGTACGTACTGACAGGCCAGGGCTTTTTGTCATCGGCCCATAATTATTGGGCCTTTTCTTTTCGTGAGCCCTTTACAAACGAAATGTTGAGCCAATTTGGCCGTGGACAGTCTCTCTTTTTTTTTTTTCTTTTTAATTAAAATTTAAAGTATGACTCTTTTTCTTCACTAGTTTAACTTAGGCGAAATATTTTTGCTATGTTAAATATTTTTACAGTATTACTATTACTGTTAATATAAATGGGTAAAGAATTAATTGGAGTGGTGGACGGTTATGTGTAAAGATATGTTACACTTGATCTCTAGTCCAAAAAATGTATTTGCTAAAATCATCGTGCAATATAAACTATTCATCTGAAAAATCATGCCAAAGCGAGCGTAGCTCAGCGGTAATTGACATATATCTCCACCTAAGAGGTTGTGTTTTTTTTGTTCACAAATTAGCTAATATTCATGGGCTTTGTTAAAGATTTTCAAAGTATTCTTTAAAAAAAATAATAATAAGTATTACGTTCAAATACCACCACGAAATTAAATGATTAATCAGAGCATTAGACGTAAATGCATATCTATAGAGATATGTGAACTTGATCTTTCCTCAAAAAAAGAGATACAAGTTCTAACATATTTACTAAAATAGTTGTCTATTCATCTTTGAAATCAAGCCAATACACAGACTCATGAGTTCTTATTTTATAAACATGAAATTAACCAATTTACTCAATTGTCTTCTGTAGTTGTTGGAAATTGAAGAGTTATGGTATTAAGGGAACAGAAAAAGGAAAATCATATGAAATTGTTCTATTTCTGTTGAGGTGCTTCTCTTTAATTAATTGAATATTTTGAACAGAAATAAAAAATAGTAATTCACATTTTGAAACCAAGAGAAAAGAGTTGTTATCTTTTACTCTTTAAGAAATTCTGGTTCTTAATTATACAACAAATTAAACTATTTCAAAAGAACTATTCACCTGCAGATTTCTTCTGTTCAGTCAATCAGCTTCCTGTAATCCACCCAGCACGACTGAGCCGACCAACAAACCGGCGGCGCCGAGAGCAAGTCCGCCACCGACCACCGCCTGCAAGGCCACCAGCGCCGCCGAGTCGTCCGGAATCAGAACAATCGCCGCCAGCGCCGCCACCAGAATGGG